TTCAACCTGCAGGCCTATGATCTATCCACTAAGCCAAACGGGCTAGGGCCCAGGTGTTCCTCTTTTTTTAAAAAAATATATTTTATTGATTTTTTACAGAGAGGGAGAGGGATACAGAGTAACATCGATGAGAGAGAAACACCAATCAGCCGCCTCCTGCACACCCGCCACTGGGGACGTGCCTGTAACCAAGGTACATGCCCCTAACTGAAATCGAACCCGGGACCCCCCAGTCTGCAGGCCGATGCTCTATCCACTGAGCCAAACCGACCAGGGCTCAGGTGTTCCTCTTAAAGGGCCAGTACATGAACTTACTGGGACTTGACCCTTCTGAGCTCCAGCGCTGGGAGGCTTTGGGGGACACAGACACAAACAGGGAGGAATTGGATTGTCAGGCATTGAGGCAAGAACCTGGGGGCAGCTTTATGGGGCTGCTTGCAGGGTTATTGTTCCTGTGCTGGAACTTCCCTGTCTCAGAGCTGACTAGCAACAATATGAGTTTCCATTGGTCTGGCTCATACTGTTTGTTCCACCTTGGTAATTCCCTGGGACCCTGTCCCATCCAATTTGCAACCTCACTTAAGCTGCTTGCAGCAGCTTTTTCATATAAATGGCCTGTCCTGGTTCAGGCTTCAGACTTTGCTAAAATCTCTCAAATAAGCTGCAGCTGTTATCAGTGTGCCCCAAACCTATCAGTAAAAGGCCCAAGACCCACCACTAGCACCAGCATGCCTTGCTTCACATCTGGGTCTCATTTGGGTGCTTCCAAGCTCAATGTAAATAGCCAGCATCTGCAAATCTCTCTGTAGCTCCTGCAAGGTGGTCTCAGGTAGTAGCTGACTCTGCAGATCCTTGGAGGCCCTATAGCCAGTGAACCCGGTGGACAGTTTTAAACCTTACCAGATTACAACGCTACACATCCACAAGTGATATACTCAAGGGGCAAACTCAGTGAGCACCAAAGCCCCACTGAAGCAAGTTCTGCTTTGTAGGGGTGTTTCTGCACAGCAGCTCTCTCACTGTAGTGGCAGTTGATCCTGGAGGTCAGTTCTTCCCAGTGACTCAAGGCTCAACTATAAGACTGTGCACACACGCTACACAAGGGTGCACCTAGAGTGGGCCCTACAGGACACCTACTATATAAGGCCACGCTACCAATTCCAGAAGACATAGCAGCTCTTCTTAATACAAGTAGAGGATTCTGAGAATAAAATAAATGATTTGAAATAGGAGGAAGCAAAAAACACTCAATCAGGAGAGCAAAAAGAAAAGAGAATCCAAAAATATGAGTGTAAAGAGCCTCTGGGAAAACTCCAAGTGTACCAACATTCACATTATGGGGGTGCCAGAAAGAGAAGAGACAGAACAAGATATTGAAAACCTATTTGAAGAAATAATGACAGAAAACTTCCCCTACCCGGTGAAAAAATAGACTTACATGAAGTGCAGAGAATCCCAAATGAGAGGAACTCAAACAGGCCCACACCGAGACACATCATCATTAAAATGCCAAGGGTTAAAGAGAGACAAAGAGAGAATCTTAAAAACTGCAAGAGAAAAGTAGTTAGTTACCTACAATAGAGTGCCCATAGGACTATTAGCTGATTTCTCAACAGAAACTTTGCAGGCCAGAAGGGAGTGGCAAGAAATATTCAAAGTGAAGAACAGCAAAGACCTACAACCAAGATTACTCTCTCCAGCAAAGCTATCATTCAGGATTGAAGGTCAAATAAAGAGCTTTGCAGATAAGAAATAGCTAAAGGCATTAATAAAGATAGAATTCCCCAGCCCTGACCAGTGTGCTCAGTGGATAGAGTATAGGCCTGCAGACCAAAGGGTCCCAGGTTCGATTCCGGTCAAGAGCATGTACCTCGGTTGCTGGCACATCCCCAGTGGGGGGTGTGCAGGAGGCAGCTGATCGATGTTTCTCTCTCATCCATGTTTCTGACTATCTCTCTCCCTTCCTCTCTGTAAGAAATCAATAAAATATATAAAAAAAAAAAACAATTAAATCTAAAGGTCAAAATAAAGAAACAAGAAATCTAATGAACGAACTAAACTGGTTAATAAAACAGAGTCAGAGGCATGGAAACATGGAACAGACTGACAAATCTCAGAGGGCATGGGGGAGAGGAGGGACAAAGAGATTAACCAAAAGGTCATCAAAGATCTTAACTAAGGACACAGAAATAGGGTCTTGAAGACCTGGGGTGAAGCAGGGTGGTAACTGGGTGGAGGGGGGGGCAATGTGGGAAAAGAAAGGAGAGTATCTGTAATACTCTCAATAATAAAGACTTAAATTTTTTTTTAGAAACTTCATAAATGGCCCTAACTGGTTTGGCTCAGTGAATAGAGTGTCGGCCTGCGGATTTAAGGGTCCCAGGTTTGATTCTGGCATGTACCTTGGTTGCGGGCACATCCCCAGTAGGGGGCGTGCAAGAGACAGCTGAATCGATGTTTCTCTCTCATCGATGTTTCTAACGTTCTATCCTTCTCCCTTCCTCTCTGTAAAAAAACCCAAAAAACCAATAAAATATATTTAAAAAAACAACACCTCATAAATGATAAAAAATAAAACAAAAACTGTTTTGAGAGTTAAAAAAATACTTTCAACATTTGTAAAGTAAAAATCAGGACAAGTGAACTAATTTATAATTAGGTGGAAAGCCATTTGAATATTCATTACCCAATTTGATAAAGGAGCATTATTGATGTATTATATCCAGATATGACAGGAGGCTCAAATGTGACTAAATTTTCTCAGTTCAGTTTGTATTTAATTAGAAAATATAGCTTTATTTTAATGTTGAAGTTTATGTGCTTACAAGTGTGAATTATACACATTCATAAAGGATTTATTTTTTTAAACCACTGGGTAAAACAAATGAATAATGACAAAGTGACTAAGAGTGAGCTAGTGGAAGAAAGCAGCACTATTAACCTGATACATATTCCTTCATTGTGTAAATAAATAATGATGCCAAAAACTATTGCTCCTGAACATATAATTAGACACAACAGACAATCATGATTTTACCAAAGATCATAAAATATAAAGATTTTATACCTATATAAAAAGATACCTTTATCTTGTTTTCCTTTTTCCAAAATGGGTGAACGCAACTTTAATCCCAAATAAATTATTAATCTTAGATTTTTTATTTAATCTTATTAGAACTTTAAATCTGGAAGAAGCATTTCAAAGTCCATCTAAGACAACTTTCTTTTTGGTACATAAATCTGTCAATGGAATTCCTGAAACTCAGTGGATACTATTCTTGATATTTGACCAAAGTGTTCAGTTGCCTTCCCTGGTAACATGGAACTTGTGTCTAATCCAATGCCATGTGCATACTGTGTATCTGCTAATGAGTTCTTTCTGGATCACTATGATCAGACCATTCCTAACCTGGAACCTCTAATGTCTCCCCTTTTCCCACAGCTTAAATTCTAGGTTCCTTCCCTAAGCCAATCAGAGTGACTATGCATCCCTATCTACCTGCTAAGCTTTCTTTTCTATTGTACATACTTCTCATCTATATAATGAAAGAGAAACACGTAAATTAGCCATCCCTCCACTACGCTCAAGCCATGCCCACCAGCCAATCAGAGTGACTATGCAAATTAACCTGACAAAGATGGTGGTTACTTTGCATATGCAGGTGTCAGGTGCCCCATGAGGTGATGGCGGCAGTGGCCGCAGGCTCCCAGGACCATTGCTGGTCTGGGAGGCAAGGCTGCCCGCGCCTAGCCATGCCTGCGAGCTCCTGGGATCTTCGCAGTCCCGGGAGTGGAGGCCGTAGCCACACCCACGGGCTCCCAGGACCTTCGCTGGTCCAAGAGGCAAGGCCCTCCTGCGCCTAGCCACGCCCGCGGGCTCCCAGGACCTTGCCGGCAGAGAGCAGAGCAGGAGAGGAACGGGCGGAGAGCAGGAGGTTTGGAGGACTTGACAGGGCAGGAGACCACTGGACATAGAGCAGAGCGAGAGAGGGCGGCTTGGAGGGCGCGGCTCCCTCTGTCACCCCAGCTTCCTCATCACAGCTGTGGAAACTGACAACAGGGAGGAGGAAGTCCCACCCCCACAGAATTAGCCATTGGTCAGACAGCTCTCAGTGGCCTGACAGACAGACTCTCATTCACCTGCATCTCAGACCCCAACAGTAGAGAGGTGGGACTATGTCTAAAGAACAATTGTTGATACAATGTAGCTCTGCAGCCAAAAGATGCCAGCGTAATCAACAGGAAATGTCTGCAGAGCAGAGTGTGTCTGATCTTGAAAGAAGTCGGCGCCTGCAACAGGATGTATCTGCACACCAGCTACTGGAAAAATGTTGCTCTGATGCCAGAAAACACTGGTGTTATTGACAGAAAATGTCTGAAGACCAACGTGTCTTTGAAGTTGAAAGAAGGCGGTGGTGAAAACAGAATATGTCTAGAGAACAGTCATCAACAAGTATTACCAATACCGGTAGGAATTGCCTTCTCAGCAAACATGGAGTACATGGGGATGCAATTCTCGAACATAGTTGTGGTGGAATGACTGTTAGATGTGAATTTTGCCTATCCCTAAATTTCTCTGATGAAAAACCATCCGAAATTTACTTGATGTGTACCAAAGGGACAGTCTGTCCAAATGATATACATTTTTCAGATTACCCGGCATATTTAAAAAGATTAATGACAAACGAAGATTCTGACCGTAAAAATGTCATGGGAAATATTCGATCCATAAATAGTTCTTTTGCTTTTGCTTCCATGGGTGCAAATATTGCATCACCATCAGGATATGGGCCATACTGTTTTAGAATACACGGACAAGTTTATCACTGTACTGGAACTTTACACCCTTCAGATGGTGTTTCTCAGAAGTTTGCTCAACTCTATATTTTTGGATACAACCAAAGCTAAAAGTAAAAGATTAGCAATGCCAGGAAACCAGGGCTGCTCACCT